GCGGGGCAGGTGGGCAGCACGGGGTGGCTTTCCCAGCCAATGTCGGGGCTGGGGTAGGGGATCCCGATGACACTGACTAACTGGAGGCCTCTGCCCCCTCCGCAGTGGGTGAGCCCATCACAGTCCCCAAGCTGGAGCGCCCCACCCAGCAGGACATCGACCTGTACCACGCCATGTATGTGGAGGCCCTGGTGAAGCTCTTCGACAAGCACAAGACCAAGTTTGGCCTCCCGGAGACCGAGGTCCTGGAGGTGAACTGAGCCAGCCCCGGGACCAGCTCCGGGAGGAACCGGCTGCCAATCATCTTCTACCGAGTTCTCAAGTGCTTTTTATTCTGTAAATTTGGAAGCGTCATGGGTGTCTGTGGGTTATTTAAGAGAAATTATAATAATTTTGTTAAACCATTACAATGTTAGGTCTTTTTTAAGGAGGAAAAGTCAATGTTTCAAGCTCTCTCACTCCCAGTTTGTTCTGTTCAAGGTGGTGGCTCCAGCACACCTGGGCCTTTCAGTTTCTCAGTCTGGTCTTCCTGAAATGGCAGAGAACTCAGTCCTGGTCCGTGGGGAGGAGGGACAGCATCAGTGCTTCGGCCAGACAGATTATTTACTTTCTGCCCCGGGGTGGGAGGCAGAAGCCACTTCCAGTACAAGCACCTCTACCCAGGCTGGCTGCAGGACCAGGCCCGCTTGCCATAAGAGGAGTTGGAGGGCTCGGTAGTTCCCCTTTTGAGGGCAGCGGTGACCATCTGGCCACTCCAGCTTGGTTCTGCTTGCTGCCACTCTCATCCCAGCCCTCGTCTCTCAGAGCTGATCCTGGGCAGCCCCCAGGGGGAGGTAGGGCACCATCTCTTGGATTACCCAGCCTCCATGTCGGTGGGAGTCCGTTCTCAGAGGCTGATCACGTGTTCTCCCTGGGCAGACTCATGGCTGGCCTGTACCACGTACTTCTTGGTGGTCTCAGCCTGAGTGTGGTGTGAGGAAGGGGCCTCTTCTGTTCTCAGAAGGGATGGCTGGCTTCTGGGCAGGGGTCCCAAACCCAACCTTCCCATATCTGTGCCTTTCTGAGGGGGTGGGGGCCGAGGAACCCAGCCCCTCCTCTGTACATTTTGTTTTCTCTCAATGAGATCATTGTACGTCAGACTTTTGTACAGTCCTGGACAAATAAAGGAATATGAGAATCCACTCTGAGTTACTTCTGGGGCTGCATTTGTGTCCTGCCCTGCCACTTAGGAGACCACAGCTCCTGGCCCCACCACCCCAGCTCCGCTGGCCCCACGGCCCCTGTGGTGCACCGGTGTCTGTGGCTGTGGAACGGGTTACTCCAGCTCATCATAACTTCAAATATCTCACAGTTCTGAGTCAGGAGTTAACCTTAAATGGGTCCCCCACACAGGGTCCCTCACAAAGCCCAGCTGAGGGTCCACTTCTGTGGTTGTTCGTGTGGTCGCTGGCTGTCGGCTCTCAGGTCCTGGCCACGTGGGGGCACAGCACAGTCACAGCCTGGCAGCTGGCCTCATCAGCGTGTGGGTCTATGGGAGAGTGGGGGGCCTGGCCTGCCGTCCCCCTCGTGTTACAAGGTCCCACATGATGCCACCTCTCCTGGCTCTAATTCCATTCAGCTCAGTGATGCCGAGCACCTGGGACCCCATTCTACCTACCTCCCTCCTACAGGCCAGTCCTGCCTGTCCCTGCCATTTATTCGTCACCTCGGGGATAGACCCTCTGTGCCAGACAGTGGACGTCGCGAACGTGCTGCTCGGGAGCAGAAACGGACGCAGAAACGGACGCTGGACGACTGAGGGTGCACAGGGCATTAGAGCTGGGACAGGCATCTAAGCCAACCTAGGCGCCTTGCAGAGGAGTTAGCACAGCACTGGGCCTTGGAGGGCACTGGAAGGGGTGGAGGCAGGGGTGGCAGCACGTGCAAAGCAGGGGAATCAGCCTGGCTGCTCTGTTGTCACAGAGGTGACAACAAGAGGTCAAAGTGGGGGGTCTTGGCTGCAAAGGGCAGGGAGGTGGCTTCTTCAGAGTTCCCAGAGCCAGGGCAGAGGAGGCAGAGTGGTGAGAGGTAGCCCTGGAGGGCCAACAGAGGCTGGACTGCAGCACCAAGCAGGCCTCAGGCTGGAGAGTTTCATCCAGAAGACAGGCTTTCCCCTAGGTGGCGGCTGGCCCAAGGCAGAGCCAACGTTGGCGTAAACACCACTCCAGCTCCAGGTCAGGCCCTGACCCGCCTCCCTACACAGGTAGGTCCCCTACTCTCAAGGTTACTTCTGTGAGCCATGAACACCTGCAGTGCACTGGGGAACTTGGCCATTTCTGTCTAAGGAGAGCAGCGGTAGAACCAGGTCCCAGATCCCAGAAGGATCCCGTTGCCCAGGGCAACATATCTGGCTGCAGCCTGTCCAGGGCAGAGGACAGCCCTCCCTTAAGCTGCACGTGGGGACTCCAGGTAGAGGCTGTGAATGTGCCTGGGGTGGGGGCTCATTAACCTTAGGAGGCCCCATCAGACCCTCCTTTACCAAAAGGCCCTCAGTCCCTGGGTTGCCCGAGTGGGGGCGCCACAGTACCAGCAAGAAGATTGTCAATTCAGTTCTATGATTCTGCTGTGGTTTTCAGGTGTGGCCACAAGGGGGCAGTGAGGATGGTTCTGAGGCAGACGCCACATTCCTTCCTGAACTCACTCTCCAGATTCGGTATTTTCCCAGCTCCTATCCTGGGCTACCCTCCTAGCATGGGCTCAGAGAGGCTCAGAGCTAGACAGGAGCTTAGACGGCCTATCCAGAACAACTCTTCCTACTCTGGGAAACGCCGTGCAGAGAGGCCCAGGGACTTGTATCTAATCACACAGCAAATCAACAAACCTCATGCCACCTCTTGACAGGGGACTCAAGGCTTCCGGATTGAATGCCCCTTGTTCTGAGGTGTTCTAAGGTAATTAAAGTAGCAGAAATGTGAAGAAGGCATTTTTTAAAAAGAATGATTTAATTTTATTTATTCATTCATTCACTTTATTTTAATTTGACCAGAGCAAGACACACACACACACACAGAAAGTGAGAAAGCAAGCCACCAGGTCTGGGACTTGAATCGTGGTTGGCCATGTGGGAATGTCCATTGCCTTAAGCACTGTGCCACCTGCCAAGACGGCCTATCCAGAACAACTCTTCCTACTCTGGGAAACGCCGTGCAGAGAGGCCCAGGGACTTGTATCTAATCACACAGCAAATCAACAAACCTCATGCCACCTCTTGACAGGGGACTCAAGGCTTCCGGATTGAATGCCCCTTGTTCTGAGGTGTTCTAAGGTAATTAAAGTAGCAGAAATGTGAAGAAGGCATTTTTTAAAAAGAATGATTTAATTTTATTTATTCATTCATTCACTTTATTTTAATTTGACCAGAGCAAGACACACACACACACACACACACACACACAGAAAGTGAGAAAGCAAGCCACCAGGTCTGGGACTTGAATCGTGGTTGGCCATGTGGGAATGTCCATTGCCTTAAGCACTGTGCCACCTGCCAGTCCCTGAAGAAGGCATTAAAAAAAAAATCTTTGGCCTCCATTACTGTTTGGTTGGTTCTAGAGGATTCTGGTGCCCACATGACGGCAGAGCCAGCCATGGGTCACATTGGACGCTTCCTTCCCAACTCTAACATCTGCCTGCTGCTGCTCTTGAAACGGCTCTCAAACCACTCCCTCCTTTCTCAGCCCTACTGACACACACTGGGGAGTGTGGGATCTAGTCTGAGACCTGCGGTTGCCACCTGCACTACCCTATCACCTAACGTCTTTAAGCCTCGGAGTCTTCACCTGGGAAGTGGGCATGATTGTTCTTCCTGACTAAATGAGGTAATAGATAGAAGATACCTAAATATAAAGTGTTCCTTCCAGGGTGTGGCTCATAGTCCCTCACTAAGAAATGATATTTGTATTCATTGTCATTGTCATAATCCCCTGTCTCCAACCCATTGAACTGAGCTCCCAGTTTCCAATCTCCTTTCTAGTTCTTTGTTCTGCAGCCATCAAAGTGGCCTGCCTTTCTTTCTTTTTTCTTTCTTTCTCTTTCTCTCTCTTTTTTCTTTTATTCCTTTTTTTCTTTCTTTTTCAATATTGGAGACATAATTCACAAACCATAAAGACATCCCCTTTCTGAGCATCACTCAGTGGTTTTTAGTACATCCACAAAGTCACACACCAATTGCCATTCCCCAATTCCAGAACATTTTCATCAACCCCAAAAGAAATTTCAGAGCTGTCTCTGTGGCCTAGTGGTTAAGGCAGCCAGATCCCACATGCCCCCCCACCCCCATGACTAACTATGTAGTTCAAATCCCAGACCTGGCAGCTTAAGAAACATGTGATCACAGGACCGGCAAATGTGTAAAGGTTAAATCGCTGGACTCTCATGTGGTCAACCACAGTTCTAGTCCTGAACCCGGTAGTTTAAAACTCATGCCGGGTACATGTGTGTGCATGCCCAAGATTCTGAAAGAATGACGGAGAAGGGATTGTAGCATGGCCATCCCCCCCTGGTAGGGAGGTGATTTCTTGCTTTCTGTTTCTGTCTTTCCAGCGAGTCCACGTGCCCTATAGCAAAATAAATCTCTTTCTAAAACAAAACAAAACGAACATGTGCGTGTGTGCCCGACATGCTAAGGGGGGGTGGAGATTGTAGTATAACCATTCCCCATGCGGAGTGCTTTCTTCTCTCCTCTCTCTCTCTGGTGAACACACACATTCTCTAGGAAGAAAAAGAAACCCCATACCCGTTAGCAGTCACTCCCCATGATCTGCTTCCCCTGCTCCTGGCTAATTACTAATCACGAATCTACTTTATGTCTCCTATGAATTTCTGGTTCTGAACTGTTCATATAAATGGGATCATGTAGGCCCACCTCATGGCCTGGTGGTTAAGGAGCTGGATCTCATAATACTGGCCATGTGGTTCAAATCCTGGTCTTATCATCTTGAAAAATACACTGGTACTGGAGCCAGCCATAGTATAGTGATTAAGACAGCCGGATCCCATATGATGGACTGCACAGTTCAAGTCCTAGGCCCAGCAGTTTGAGAAGTATTCTGGGCACTATGTATGCATGCCTCAAATTCTAAGGAAATTGGAAGGAAAAAGGATTACAGCATGATCCTCCTCCAGGAAAGGGAAGCCAGGAAGTATGCGTTCTCTTTGTTCCTCTTTTTAAAGATTATTTTGGTTCTGCTGTGTCCCTTGCATTTCCCTATGAATTATAGGAGCCACATGTTAGTATCTGTAGAGAAAGGCAGTGAGATGTTGATAGGATACTGGATAGAACCTGCAGGTCAATTTGGAGAACGTTGCCGTCTTAACAGTATCTAGTGTTCTGGATGTCTCTCCCTTCACTTAGGTCTTCTTAAATGATGTTTTAGGGACCAGCAGTTAGCATAATGGCTATGTCGCTGAACTCCCATGTAGTTGACCACGGTTCTCGTCTCGGACCTGGTGGCTTAAACTCACGCCAGGCACGTGTGCGTGCGTGCCCAAGATCCCTAGAGGAGAATGGAGGAGAAGGGATTGCGGCATGGCCAGCCTCCCATGGGGTGATTTCTCGCTTTCTATCTCTCTGTCTCTTTCTGTCTCTCTGGCAAGTGCATGCGCCCTGTAGCAAAAAACCTCTCCAAAAAAAAAAAAAAAAAAAAAGAAAGAAAAAGATGTTTTATAGGACAAGTCTTACATTTCTTTTGTTAAGGTTATTCTTAGTATCATAGTCTTATGTGTGTGTGTGTGTGTGTGTTTGTGTGTGTGTGTGTGTTTCTTTTAAGGGCGGTTTTTGCTATATGGTGCTCCCTGGAGTCACAGACAGAAAGAGAGAGAAAATGAGAGATCACTCACCAGGGGAGATGGCCATGCCACAATCCCTGCTCTTCCCCTCTTCTCTTCGGATTTGGGCACACACCCACGTACCCGGTGTGAGTTTCAAGCTGCTGGATCTGGGAATCAAACTATGGTCAGCTATATGGGAGTCCAACACCTAATCACTACACCACCTGCTTGGCCCCAAGTATCATATTCTTTGGATGCTATGGTACACAAATTGTTTTCTTAATTTCACATACAGATTGTTCATGTTAATATACAGCAACACAATCATTTGTTTCATGTTGATTTTGTATCTTGCAGCCTTCTGCAGTCCTTTAACAGCTCG